GGGCCAGTCAGAGGTGGGATTTGCCAGTTCTCCGAACTACTCAAAATTTCTGCTATTGGTTCTCCAGAACTGGTCAGAACCTGCTGAATTCACCACCTCTGGTCTCTGCTCCATACAATAAGCACACAGAATGATTTTTTAAAAAAAAATCTGTGTGCAAATTACTGGGAATGTCAACCCTTCCCCAATCCTAAATTATAATTAGAGGTAGTCCTCTGCTTACAACAGTTGATTCAATGTCCGTTCAAAGTTACAAGATTGCAGAAAAAAGTGACTTATGGCCATTTTTCACACTTAGGACCATGGCAACACGTTAACAGATTAACAGAGTTGGAAGGGACCTTGTAGATCATCTAGTCCAACCCCCTGCCCAAGCAGGAGACCCTACACCATTTCTGACAAATGGCAGTCCAGGGTCTTCTTGAAAGCTGCTAGGGATGATTTATGATGGGTGCCGAGTCCTGGGATCATGTGATTTCCCCTTTTGCAATTTTCTGACGAGATTCACTTAACAACCAAGCTACTAATTTAACAGCTTCAGTGATTCACTTAACTAATGTGGTAAACAAGGAGGCAAAATGGGGGTGAGGCTCACTTAACCAGTGTCTCACCAGTGACATAAATTTGGGGCTCATTTGCGATTGTAAATCAAGGACTATTTGTAAAATGACTGACATCAACCATTATAAAGAAAGCCAGTTTGGTGGGGTGATGAAGATGCTGGCCTAGGAGAAACCAGGGATCAGTGAGTTCTAGTTCTGCCTTAGGCATGGAAGCCCACTGGGTGACTTTGGGCCAGTCCCCCACTCTCTCTCAGCCTAACCCACGCCACAATGCTGTTGTTGTGCAGAAAATAGGAGGAGACAATATTTTGTATACTGCCTCAAGTTGCACAGATAAAAGATGGTTAATTGTCGTTACTCTACTTCTTGACTACAATAAAAAGAAGCAACAGAATTAGCGATTTGTCAACACACAATGGTGCATTTCAGAAACTGGTATCAGAAGTATTTGTAAAATTCTTTGTACAATTTGTAAAGTTTTAATGGTTTTTAGGGAAAATTACATCCAGAACCAAGGGGAACTTTAGAGTTACAAATGTAGAAGTGTGAAGCAACTTCTTGGTGCATTTGTTTGCGTTGCTTTGTTCGATGCCATTGGCTATCACCTCTTTCTGGGATGGAAAAGAACGTGGTTGAGGGGCACAGGACTCCATTTGTATGTAGGACATCCCAGATTCATGTCACATGGAGCCAAGTGATCAGCAGTGCTCCCACACCATCATCAGATGACGTCCATGGGACCCCAAAAATAAATGTCAAACAAAGAGGTGAGTTTGTGAGATATGGTCATCTAAATGAGATTTTGGTGGTATTTAATGTTCTTTGGGTACGTGATGATTCTAAAGGCTGCTGAACTCATGATTTTCAAGACAAAGAAAGGCCATATTCTCATCATTTACAAACCATAATTAACGAAAGCTCCAAAACACAGTACGACTTCAACGGTGATTTATAACCAGAGGGTGGGTTTGTATCTCTGATGGTTCTGTGTATTGGGTGAAGTCCACCAATCTAAGTCAGCTTGGTACAAGAATCTTACAGCTCTATAACTGCTTTGCAAAATTGTTGAAAAAGCAGAAACAAATAATCCCAAACAACTCCAATTAATTATCTCAATAAAGGATGGGAAATCATACTAATACCACTCTATGAAGCCTTAGTAAGATCACACCTAGAATACTGCATCCAGTTTTGATCACCATGCTATAAAAAGATGTTGAGACTCTAGAAAAAGGGCCGAGAAGAGCAACCAGGATGATTACGGGACTGGAAGCTAAAATATACAATGAACGGTTATAGGAACTGGGCCTGGCTAGTCTAGTGAAGAGAAGGACCAGGGGAGACATGATAATAATGTTCCCATATTTGAGGGGCTGCCACAGGGAGGAAGGGGTCAAGTTATTTTCCAAAGGACCTGAAGACCAGACAAGGAATAATGGATGGAAACTGATCAAGGAAAGATTCAATATAGAAATAAGGAGAAATTTTCTGATAGTGAGAACGAGCAACCCATGGAATAAAAGTTGCCTTTGGAAGTTGTGGGAGCTTCATTGCTGGAGGCTTTCAAGAAGAGATTGGATTGCCATTTGTCAGAAATGATGTAGGGTTTCCTGCTTGGGTGGAGAGGGGTTGGACTAGATGACCTAGTTCAGGGCTCTTCAACCTTGGCAACTTTAAGACTTGTGGACTTCAACTCTCAGAATTCCTAGCCAGTTTTTCTGACTGAGGAATTCTGGGAGTTGAAGCCCACAAGTCTTACAGTTGCTAAGGTTGGAGACCCCTGACCTAGATAATGTCTCTTCCAACTCTGTTAATCTGTAAATCACGCTTATCTGAATGAGCTGGGCCTGCACCTTTAACCGATTAATGGCACAGCTGGACTTCAGAAGATCCATACTGCCTATTCTCCTGTAAGTTTCCTGTTATTTATTTTCTACAGGCCTTTAACATCCTTTCTTGTTGCCCATATGATTCAGCCGTCCAGGAATGCTTCCAGAGAAATCAAATATTGATCAGGGGATGCTGAAATATTAACTACCATTTTGTTATTCATCATTTACAAATATTTCTTACAGACAGGAAAGAGTAAAAAAAAAAAAGATTCATCAATATAGGAGCAACATTCCTTAAAAAAAATTGCCGTCACTACAAATAAACTTCTATCCTGCAGAAAGGTTTTAATTAAGGCAACCTGTCAGCAAATTAGATTAATTTGCTTAGGAAAATGATGCCACAATGCTCGGAAAACAACTCCACAAAAAGCTTTGTAGTCGTGCTGCTATCTCCAAGGGCAGAATAAAATAATGGTGAAGTCATGTAATTGCTGGAATCCAGATGCCAGTAAAAGGTTTGATGCCATATTTTTTTTTTCCACCAGCCAAGGATCACTTCCCCAACAGGCTCAAATAGCTGGAGTCCTGTTACGATAGAGTCCCCTGCCTGTGTTTTCTGTGGGAAATGGGTCTCTCCTCTCTCTCTCTCTCCCTCTCCCTCTTCCATTTCTGTTTTTTGTGTTTTACCTTCTCAGGCCAGGAGAGAAGTGACTGGGAGGGGAAGGCGGGGAGCGGGGGGGAGCCGGTGGTAGGATCACCTAACAGGGAGCCACAGCAGAGGGCCCAAAGAGCCGCATGAGGCTCCAGAGCCAGGGGTTGCTGACATCCAGTCTAGTTTAATGAAAATAAGGATTGGGGTGACATGATGGCAGTGTTTCAATATCCAAGGGGCTCCCCCGAAGAAGAGGGGATTGACTTATTTTCTAAAGCACCACAAGGCAAGGCAAGAAGCCATGGATGGAAACTAATCAAGGAGGGAACCAATGTAGAACTAAGAAGACATTTCCTGACAGGGAGAACAATCAACCAGTGGAACAGCTTGCCTTCAGAAGTTGTGGGTGCTCCAACACTGGAGGCTTTTAAGAAGAGACTGGACAACCACTGGTCTGAAATGATCTAAGGTTTCCTGCTTGAGCAGGGGCATGGACTAGATGACCTCCAAGGTCCCTTCCAGTTCTATTCTAATCATTGATTGATTGATCTTGCTCTTAGGCATGAAAGCCAACTGGGGGACTTAGGGCCAATCACCAGGAGGCAGTGAGTTCTAATCCTGCTTAGGCACGAAATAGCTTGAGACTTTCAAGAAGGGAGTGGACTGCCATTTGTCAGAAATGGTGTAGGGTCTCTGATTATCTGGTGATCAGCTGGGTGACCATGAGCCAGTCACTCTGTCTTAGCCCTGGGAACCAGGCAAGGGCTATCCACTTCTGAAACCTTGCCAAGAAAACTGCAGGGACTATCCAGGCTTTTGCCAACCATTAAAAAAAACAAAACAGAAATCAAACAAATGGAAAAAGAGGGAGGCAGAGGGCCCAATGGGAAAAAGAAAAAAGAAATCTGCAAGAGGAAAAGGAAATGACAGCCTTAGAGAGAATACCTGCAAATAAGGGTTCCTTGAGCCAAAAGAAGAAGAAAATAAAACTTTTTGGGGGAGGCATAATTTCTCTAAAATTAATAGATGACAGTTGTGGGGCTGAGTAAGGGAGAGAAAGAATTTGGAAGTTAGGATATTTTAGATACATATATATATATACATTTCAGACCAATTTCCTTGCTCCCATGGAAACCCATGCATATCAGTACTATTAATATATACGCATATCCAAATCTAGAGTAATGGAAAGTTTCTGAGTTTCTCACAACACAGCTGAGCCCAACGGGTGTCTGGCACAATTCAACAACATGTCCTACTTTCTTTCTTTCTTTCTTTTTTATATTTTGCCCAAGGAATGAGGATTAAGAAGGAATAAACATTATTATTAATAATAATTTTCAAAAGCCAAGCTGCGTCAGTAGACATGAAGGACAAAGCAGGAAGAAAGTTTCCATGGTTTATTTTTAAAAGGAAGGGTTTAATTTCAGAGGGCTATGAAATAGTGTGAGAGATTTGAAAAATAAATTAGGGGAAACGGCCGAGAGCGAATGGCTAAAACTTTACAAAATATACATTTTAACTCCCCCCTTCCAGCCCAGCCCACCCACCCTTGCTGCTACCCACTAGAAGAGTCTAGTCAGTTTGCAAATATCTTGGAAATGTAGCGTTTCTCTTATTATTATTTTTCTTTTTTCTTAAAAATAAAACTTTTTTCAAGGCAAAACCAGACATTTCTCAAGGATGAGAACATCAGAACATACATTTCAAAGCAAGCCCATCGTCCTCACCCCCTGCCCGCATCCCCACACCCCCGGGCCTTTGGAGGCTACCTTATGTAGGGTTTTGCAAGGTTATGCAGAAAACTGCCCCTGTGTGCAGGCCTGGCTGATTTAAGTTTCAAAAACAGCATAGACAATGATAAAGGGGATTTGGGGAGGGACGATGTAGAACAGGGCTGACAAACTCGTGGTGGCGTCACGGCAGCGTCATGTGACGTATCGTGACATTTGGAGAGGGACGATGTAGAACAGGGCTGACAAACTCGTGGTGGCGTCACAGCAGCGTCATGTGACGTATCACGACATTTTTTCCCCTTCGCTAAAACAGGTGTGGGCGTGGCCAGCCCGTGAAGCATCCAGCCCGCGGGCCACGAGTTTGACAGCCCTGATATACAACATGTTGTACATTCTACAAGAGGGGCTGGGAATTCTCCAAGGATTTTTTTCTTTTCTTTAAAGAAGGGGCTGAGAAATTCATTTCACCTGAAGATCACATGAAGATGCAGAGTACTGGCAAAAGATTTACTGGCCACTGGTTGGACTTAGTAGCCAGAGCCTAATATCCACAGCAGAGACATAATCACAAGAGCAAAGTTGTGTAATCCCCCCTATTCAGTGCCTATTCAAAGGGTTGCTGAACAAATGGCCGTTCAGCCGAGGGCTATCTGTAATATATAAAACCAAGATAGCCACCCATCCTGTCTGTGTAACAAAAGGTTAGATTCACTGCGCGCCCTCGTTGCAATCGGAGAAGGAAAAAAATGCATAATGAGTTAGGAATCACGAAAAACCGTAATGCCCCTAGAAGTTGGCTTTGGCGTTTTATAGTCTTTATAAACTTTTGTAGAAAATATTTGACATCTAACAAAATAAATAAAACATTTTAATCAGAGGTGCCTAACAATCAGCTTCGAAAAAATCTGCAGGGCCAAGGGGAACGGAGGGGGTTCCGTTGGTTTGCTTCCATTGGCGGCTAAATTCTTAAGAGAACTTGCTCTCATCGCGCTTTCAGCAATGTGAAAAAATACAGCGAAGTCCATCTGAGAAGATTAAAAAAAAGGAAGCTCCTTCACAGAGAGTCCATATTGTCTGATTGTTCCATGTAGCAGTTACAGTTTCTTTTATTCTTTTAGTGCTAAAGAGTCCTCGTCATGGTAATGAATCCTCATGGGCGAGGGACATTTCTTTTCTCCATCATTTCCTGCTCTGAAGAACCATACGCTGAGGTCTTCTGAGGAATGGATCTCTCTCTCCAAAGATGACTTCCAAGCATGCTAATAATGCAAGCGATAAGGCTCACCCTGAAATTCTCTCTGATACAGGCATCTATCCAGTGTAACTCAGCTTGAAAAATGCAGCCACCTCCTCAATTGCTAGATGACCGAGGGAGAAGAGAGTTCTTCTGACCTTGAGGCTCTTCAGATTGTCCAAGCGCCCCGTGGTTGGGAACACAAAGGTCTTGCTGTCCTACTGAAGAGACCAAACAAATCTGAAAATCCATAACCAAAGGCAAGTTTGAAGGAACTGGCTTCCTGGTGGAAGATAGGCATGTTCAGTGGGTCTGACAGCTATTCCGGGGGTGCCCGAAGAGTCCTCAACTTCTTGTCATCCATCCCCTTCCAATACTTGAAGTTGTTGTCTAGGTGTTGCATCAGATTTGGTAGATCTGCAAAAGCTGGAAAAGACAACAGGGAAGTCATTGACACCTCTGGGACATGAAAATGTTGGGGGCTTCTTTCCTTGGATAAGAAAATTGTCTAAGATGTAGGGATGCAAGCTGTCCCTCCTTTTTGGTACCCCCCCCCCCTGCAAAGTTCTACTTGATCTAAAGGGCTGAAAACTGACAATGCCATTTTCCATGATTTTTGAGCTTGAAAGTAGATGAAACTTACCATCTAATAGAAGCTATAAAATAGTCACATTTTCTTAAAACAATAAAGAACATTCCATATTCTCACCTCAAAGATGGGTGGGGGAACCAACAACCAAGTTAAGATCATTTAGACAACAGTTTTTATGTTTCCCACCTTAAAACAGCAGAAAGCAACACTGCCATCGTTCAGTAGCGTATCACCAAGAGAGATAGTTAGAAGGAATTCAGAAGAGGTCACATTAAAGACAAAAACATCCTGGACCACAGGTTGCCCACTCATGTCCTTGAGCAACCCAATCAGAACCATAGATTGCCCTCTCTACTGCAATCCTTCCACCACCCAATCAGTATTGAAGAATATGCAAAAAGTTGACAATCCATACTGTTGGGTATAACAATGATACACCAACTAAGTTTGGGTGAATAAATATATAAACCAAGGTTTGGGTGTTTGTAACTTGTAGCTTTAAGCACCAAACTGCTTGTAATTAACTAATTAAGGGTGCGGTTACAAACGGCAATAAAAGGCAGTAAGAGAAACGTAATCTCTCTCTGCTTGATTGTCTGCTTGCTACTGTTTGTTTGCTACTGTTTGCTACAACTGTTTGAATACCTGAACGAAAGGACTATTTCATTGATGTGCTGATATCCTGTGAATACTCAGCGTTGTCTTCAAAAGGAAAGGTATCAGAGGAGAAGATATCTTTACAAGCAGATAAGGATATAGAACTGACTAGTGAATGGACTAAGTTACTGAATGGATATATTTGTGAATGACATATGGACTGATTGACAATGTTTAAACTCTAATTGGATTAAACAACTATTTAAACTACAAAAACAGTGTTTGTCATCAGTGTGTATAAACTCTAGGGCCCTTCCTCTCTCATTTGGCTGCCTGGCTTGACTGCTGCTGCACATTCTTTTTGGGGGTTTGTCCCCAATCACTAACACATACTGGTAGGTCATGAACAGAGTTTTCTCTCTTTCTTCTGCATCAGAGAGAAGAAATGACTTACCATCCCAAGCATCAAACATGTCCATGATGAAGTAATCAATGAACGAGATTTGAGATTTAGGGATACTGCAGGTATTCCTGTCGAAAACTGGCATGACAACAGGTAAACCTTGCCTCTTCTCGTCATCGGTCTGCAAAAAACAACCACCACCACCAATACACACAATTATTTGGTTTATTACTACTAACAATATCTCCTCTAGTTCTGTTAGCGTTGCGTAGCTGTAACTCTGCGGGAACGATGGGGAAGGCGCAAATATCCACATATATACTTGAGAAACAAAACAACATGGCAAGAAACCGAGGTATCCCGAAGGGGCTTTTTCTAGAGGCAACTGGACTGTCTGGTTTTCCTTTGGAGATCCCTCACTTCTCATCCAAGAAGCTTCTTCAGCTCTGACTGGATGGTGGGGAATGGAAGGGTTTACCCTCCTTGTAGACAGCTGGTCATTTGCATTCTTTTAAGAGAGTCATTGAGGCCACTTGGAGCTTTGATGACACAAGATAACCTAGATGACCCGAGAATCTCCATAGACATAACCAAGGTATCTGTCGGGCTCTGTTAGTGCTGATGGATAAACTGAGCCCATAAGCCTGTTTGTAAGAGCTGCTCAAGCCTGACATTATGTACTTCCGGGATTGTTTAGCTGCGTCAGTCGCATCATCACCGGAGCAGGATGGTCGACGGTGACAAGAGGGGGGATTTGGGAACCCCCCTGTCCTTTTTTGGCTTTTGGAATCGACTGTAGTGCTGCAACAGATGATGGGGGGAGGAAAATCTAGTTATATAGTTTACTCGCAAGTAGGTAGGGTTCATAGGCGAAAGATTGCAAAGATTGGACATATTAGGTATAACCGGATGGTGACCTAGAGGGTAATTAAGGGGCTTATTAGGGGCGAGTACAGGAGATAGGAGCATTTAGGTGGGTGTGTTTATACCTTTAAATAGCATTGAAAGGCAGAAGCTTCCAGTGCTAACCTAGACCGGATTGTATGCCGTTCTTGCCGGATGGGAAGTTTGTTGTTTGACATTAAACACCTTGAAACCTGCTTTCTGCTGTTGTGTGGTGGTTTGTGTGCAAATCTGCGAGCTTTCCGAAGACTGGCTGAGAGTATCTTTTTTTCACTCAGGGGGAGGGACTTAAGGGCCACCAAAGAGATTTCACCACCTTCACTTCCATCTCCATTTTTGTTGCCTAGGAAAAATGAAAACCAACATCCAGCAGGAATTTCTTCAGCTTGCTGTCTTAACTCACCTGTGCAAAATACTCCTCCGAGATCCGACCTGCCCACTCAATGCACTGTTCCAACGAACGGCAAGGGTTGGAAACGTCAGCACACTTAATTAGCATCCGTTTGATCAGGATTCGATTCTCAGCAGACGTGAGAACGTTTTTGATGGGATCCCCCTCGCCATTGGTACTCTTGGGGAAACAAAATTTACAAATATTATTGTACTGTTATTACTATTATTATTATTCTACTCTGGAACTTCAGAGAGCAAATCTTGATGTTTTTCTAGATGATACCTCTTCTAATACTTCAAAAGTCTTCTTTTTCAGGGTTAATCTGTCAGGATTTCAGCAATTGCCCTAATTAAAACATGATTCTCGAGCCAAGCTTCAATAAACTTCAAAGGATTTATTAGAGGCGACATACTGGCACTGCCCTATATGAAGCCAACTCTGATTTTTACAGAATTTACAGTCTGTTCTGACCCAACCAGGTTCCCAAAGAACAAACACAGACAAAGGCAGCAGCCCCCACCTTTTAAGGTTTAATAATGAATTCTGTTCTGAAGGCTGCTTTCCACTAATTAGCTCCAACAAGAAAGAGCCTTGCCAAGTTGTTTGTCAAGGCTGCCAAAAACCCAGAGATAAGAACTAATTTACAAGATTCTCCAAATGAACTAAGATGTCCACCAGTTGAGCTTAAGAGCTTCTTTGCTGTCTGCAAAGAATGCTTTTCCAAACCTGGCTTTTATCCTCTTGAGGGAGGGGCCATTACCTTGCAGCCTTACTCCCGAGTCGCCTGTGCTGCTGTAATTGTTCTTTCCTCCAAGCAATCCTTTGTGCATGCGCACTTGGCACAGGCTCCTCGGGAACCTCCTCATCACTGCTGCCAGCCCCCACAATCTCTGAAGGCAGCAGTCCACTCCCTGATGGTCCTGGCCCTTCATTAGAGTCCTCGCTCTCCTCAGCCATCTGCACCTGCTGCCGGCTAACCACGACACAGTCACCTGTGATCCTGTTTCCCCCCTCTCCCCTGGGTGTTTCATTAACCAGTTTCTCCAATTGAGCAGGTTCACGAGCTGGGTGTCATCATTCACGTTCTCCAATTAAATATATTCACGGGCAAAAGCTCCGGTATTTTAGTCACAATCTTTTAAAGATAAGAGTTGGAATGTACTTCCGCTTTCAAACTGCTGCACTGCTCTCCCAGATCTCCTTCCTCCCCCCACCCCTTTTTATGGCAACTACTAAAGCAGGATAGGAATGTTTTATGAGTTGACATAATCAACCTATCCTGTACCCCCAACATGTTGCAGGGATTAATTTTCAGTCCCATAATTATCCTTGCAAGTTTCTTCTTGAACCTGGTTCAATTTATTCTCATCTTTCTTTTTTTTAATAACGTTTTATTTGGGTTTCCACACATACAAAATACAAGTAAAACACCTTTTTTGAAAATAGCATGGTCCCGGGTTGAACTTCTTTATATAGACACAAACTCAATTTCATGCTCCTTTTTGTGTTCTATTCCATATCTTATACTATTCTACATTTTCTATATAGTTTTTCCCCTCTTTTAATTTTCTGAATTTTATTTTGATTATGTCATCTCAATTCAAATCATTATATTTATACTTTTGTCTGTTCTGTTTCAATTTCATATTATATTTTCTCATTAAACAAATTTTCTCCTATGGTTACTAATTGGAGTATGACACTTTTATATCTTTTAATTACATCCATTCAACTCTTATTTAAACTTCAATATATACCTTAAGTTTATGACCTTCAATACATAACTTCCAATCAAATTCTGCTTGGTACATTCTTATAAAACACACTATATTCTTTTTTTTAAAAAAAAAAGATTGTAAATATGTGTAATTATAAACCCTCATTCCATTCCAGTTCAGTTCTATCATTAATAATCATTAAAATCTTAACATCTTTAACACTTCTTTTCAATTAAATATCATACTTCCTTAAAAACACATACAATCTCCATAATTAATTTTTCCCTTATTTCTCTTCACATACATTTTATAAATCATTAAATATACCTTTTGTTACGTTTATTTATTGACAAGCATTCCACTGAATTACAATAGCTATTTTATCAGACATTTTAATCATACATTGTTTCATATTTTCTAAAATTATTTCTGTTTCTAATATAACCATACTTTCTGATGTACCTTTGCAGAATCCCTTTTTCCATTAAGTTTTCACCCATTATCTCTAAATAGGCTGTTTCTCAATATTTTGCTTCTGTCCTTTATAACTTCTTTTCCTTTCTTTCTTCCCTCTCATCTTCTCCCTCCCGCTTTTACCCCCTTGTCTCTCTAGTTCTAATTCTCTCTTCTGCATTTCCCTCTTCTGTTGCTTTCTGATTTTATACTTATTTTTCACTCTATTCTTTTTTGGGGTTGTTTTTCCCAATCTTAAACTTTCCATTCTCTTTGGTTTTCTCCTTTTCCTATACTGACAGCTAAGAGACTTAAGCAAGAAATTGGAAAAAAAATCCACTTTGACATCAATAGGCATTTAATGCTGAAAATAAAAAGTCAAAGGGATAATAAAGATTTCTGGATAATTAAAAGCTTTTGAAAACAGGAAAGGAGAGAAAAAGAATAAAAGGGCAGGATCTGAAAGGGAGGAGACTGCCTGGAATTAAAAAAGAACTTACAGCAAAATCTCAACAAGACTTCCAAAAGATACATTCTAACTGAAATACCCCAGGAAGAGAAAGTCGAAAAAGAAATAAGAAGCTATAACTCGGGACTATCTGGATTACTTGATGATTTCTGGATTCTTGGTTATTGTTTTGAATGACTAAAATCAATCGGGTGGTTGTTTAATACTGTTTAAAATGGCTCCACTTTTAGAAGAACTGAAAATGGAAATTAAAAAATACCAAGAAGATGCACAAGAAGGGAGAGGTTCTTTTGGCTTCGTATTTCAGTTTTTAGAAATGGAGATTTGGAATTATGAGAAACAAGAAGAAATGCCTGGAGAACAAGAAGATTGCGACAAAGAAGAAGCCACCTTTAATGAACAAGTAATCTTAGGTGGGGGGAAAAAAGGAAAGGGGGGAAAGAGAATGGAAAGTTTTAAGTTTGGGAAAAACAACTCCAAAAACAAAATAGAGTGAAAAATAAGTATTCTCATCGTTCTTAAAGTGTGATGTCCAGAACTATATTGAGATGGAATTTATTCACAGCAGAATCAAGCAGAATACTTCTGTAAGCTAGAGTTATGGTTTTGTTTTTATCTTTCTTTGTATTTAACTGCGTCAGGTATGCTGGGTAAGATTAATTTTGGATCTGTTTAAACAATTCAGATTGACGCACATTTTTATTTACACCAATTAACCTTTCCATTTCTGTACAGAGTCTCTGGAGAAACGTGTGAATTTTAAATGGGGCTGAGTGGGAAAGATTGCTACACATTACAAAGGAAGTGGTTCCCATCCTAAACTCAGCCTCTTCCTGGGGTCCTTCTCCTTCTCCTTCTCCTTCTCCTTCTTCTTCCCAAATGGTGTCTCCAACAGTTTTCCAACATTCGTCCAAAAACTGCTGGGATAACTAAAGGAATTGGAGCTTCAAGCTCCTGTTTTGAAATACTTGGGCTTGTTCCAGTTTTTTGCTGAATAAATGGAAACAGTTCATGGGAAGCTCAAAGAAGCCCTTTGTGAAGAGCGTAGAAATGGCCTCCTCCCGCAAAGGCTTCTAAAAGTGCTACCAATGCAGAGGAAGCCTTCAATCCACCATGCAAAAATAAACAGCAGAGTGAAAAAGCAAAAAAAAAAAAAAGGCTTAGAGAAAGCTGAATTTTCAGCATGTCTTTTTCTCCCAGAGCATCAGAAAAGGCGAAGATTTCTCTCACGAAGGAGATGACTCTGCAAAGCATCACAACTTCAATTGGAAAAATGGCAAATTAATTCTTTGGGGGAAAGGGCAGATCCCTGGTCTTAAAAAAATCCCAAATTTAGAAACTTCACAAATCCCCAACTTTGAAAAGATTTCCTCTTTAGCTGGATTTGTGGGAATGAAGTCTCCAGAACATGGACCATAGAAGTAGTAAAAGTCAGAACTGTTTCAAATGGGAATAAAATGGGGGAAGGTTCGCTTCCCTCTCTATGCAGAACGAATACCCTTTCAAAGGCCCTTTATAAATAAAAAGAAAGAACAAAACAAATGCTTCCTCTGAGATTGAACAGGCTCACAATGAAGACAGTTTGCAAAGTGTCCTTTGTAGCATTCTTTGCTGTACAGACCTACTGGTGCTTTACACCTTTCAAATCAGGCTTACCACCCTTGAGATACCAAATTTATTATCTTCCCAGCTTTCCACTTAGGTAGCAACACTGATTGACAATCAATTTCACATGCTGTTGTGCAAATGGAATAGACAGCAGGTGGGAAGCAGAGGCAGTTAGCAAGACTTCCCCAATAAAGGAGCAGTTCTGCAGGTGGTGACCACAGACCACTTCTCAGTTCCTATGCTTTCTGGCTGATGGTTTGATCACTTTTGAATGCTGGCGGTGCTTTCACTCTAGTGGTAGCATGAGACGGAGTCTACAACCCACACAAGTGGCTCAGGTAGTGCAGCTCATCCAGGATAACACATCAATGTGAGCTGTGGCAAGAAGGTTTGCTGTGTCTGTCAGTGTAGTGCCCAGAGCATGGAGGCGCTACCAGGAGACAGGCCAGTACATCAGGAGACATGGCGGAGGCCGTAGGAGTGCAACAATCCAACATCAGGACCGCCACCTCTGCCTTTGTGCAAGGAGGGACAGGAGGAACACTGCCAGAACCACAAATGTGCATGTGGCTGCTCAAACGGTCAGAAACAGATTCTATGAGGGCGGTATGAGGGCCCGAGGTCCACAGGTGGGGGTTGTGCTTACAGCCCAACACTGTGCAGGATGTTTGGCATTTGCCAGAGAACATTAAGATTGGCAAATTCACCACTGGCACCCTGTGCTCTTCACAGATGAAAGCAGGTTCACACTGAGCACATGTGACAGACGTGACAGGGTCTGGAGACGCCATGGAGAATGTTCTGCTGCCTGCAACATCCACCAGCATGACCGGTTTGGCAGTGGGTCAGTAATGGTGTGGGGTGGCATTTCTTTAGGGTGCTGCACAGCCATCCATGTGCTCACCAGAGGTAGCCTGACTGCCATTAGGTACCGAGATGAGATCCTCAGACCCCTTGTGAGACCATATGCTGGTGCGGTTGGCCCTGGGTTCCTCCTAATGCACAGCAATGCTAGACCTCATGTGGCCGGAGTGTGTCAGCAGTTCCTGCAAGACGAAGACATTGATGCTATGGACTGGCCCGCCCATTCCCCAGACCTGAATCCAAAACTGAGCACATCTGGGACATTATGTCTCGCTCCATCCACCAACGCCATGTTGCACCACAGACTGTCCAGGAGTTAGTAGATGCTTTAGTCCAGGTATGGGAGGAGATCCCTCAGGAGACCATCCGCCACCTCATCAGGAACATGCCCAGGCATTGTAGGGAGGTCGTACAGGCACGTGGAGGCCACACACACTACTGAGCCTCATTTTGACTTGTTTTAAGGACATTACATCAAAGTTGGATCAGCCTGTAGTGTTTTTTTCCACTTTAATTTTGAGTGTAACTCCAAATCCAGACCTCCATGGATTGCTAAATTTGATTTCCATTGATAATTTTTGTGTGATTTTTGTTGTCAGCACATTCAACTATGTAATGAACGAAGTATTTAATAAGAATATTTCATTCATTCAGATCTAGGATGTCTTATTTTTGTGTTCCCTTTATTTTTTTGAGCAGTGTATATATATATATATATATATATATATATATATATAAATATGTGTGTGTGTTTTATGTATGTATGTATGTATGTATGTATGTATGTATGTATGTATGTATGTATGTCATTCAGCTTTGTTCGGGTATTTTCCCACGTCACTGTAGTTGTGCTTTTAAAGTTGTAGCGACATTTTGGCAGAATCTCATCTGCCATCATCAGGCTTCTGTATTGTGTTCGTACATATATATTTCAGGCAGTGAAAGAGACAAATCTGTTCATGATGAACATGTGTTATTTAGAAACCTCTTCTGAAGTCCTCTGTCTGCCAATTTTACAGTTGTGTTATTATTGTGTGCTTATATTTTTATTGTTTTATTAGGCATTCAATTTCTGTGACTCTTTGGTTTTAGTGTTCTAAGCTATCTTGAAAAAGTACATACACGCCTGCCTAACATAATGAAAATAAGCAAAGTGTGACTTAATAGGATATGGAAAATGTTCCTCAGAGAACTAGGAAAAATCCTGGCTTGTTTCAAGAGTACCTACTATATTCACTTATTTACCAGATGTAAAAACTGGACGAGAGATTTCAATTGCCCCAAGGAGAGCCAGTAAATGTTCTGATTGAAGAAGTAACTGGGAGAGGGATCTTGGAGTCTTAGTGGACAAGCAGCTAAATATGAACAAGCAAGTGTGTAGCAGCAGCCAAAAAAGCTAATGCAATCCTAAATTGCATTAACAGAGGGATACAATAAAGATCAAGTGAGGTACTAATACCACTCTATAAAGCCTTAGTAAGACCACACCTAGAGTACAGCATCCAGTTTTGGTCACCACATTATAAAAAGATGTTGAGACTCTAGAAAAAGTGCAGAGAAGAGAAACCAGGATGATTAGGGGACTGGAGATTAAGGCATACCATGAACGGTTGCAGGAACTGGGCGTGGCTAGTCTGGTGAAAAGAAGGACCAGGGAGACATGATAGTGTCTTCCAATATTTGAGGGGCTGCCACAGGGAGGAAGGGGTCAATTTATTTTCCAAAGTACCCGAAGGCCAGACAAGGAACAATGGATGGAAACTGAACAAGGAGAGATTTAACCTGTAAACAAGGAGAAACTTTCTGACAGTGCGAACAATCAACCCATGGAACAGAAGTTGCCCTCGGAAGTTGTGGGAGCGTCATCACTTGAGACCTTCAAGAAGAGATTGGACTGCCATTTGTCAGAAATGGTGTAGGGTCTTCCGCTTGGGCAGGGGGGTTGGACTAGATGATCTATAAAGTCCCTTCCAACTCTGGTTATCTGTTAGAGTTACAGATAGAATGTGTATGTGTTCAAGAACTTGAACTTGGATTTTTTTTCTATTGAAAATGGGAGTTGATCTCCCTTTTGCAAAAGGAACAAACTTTTATTACGCAAGTTTATTCCTAAACATTTCCCTCGGTTCTTCATCTGTCTTTGAAATAAGTAGAAGAATTCATTCTTCTAAATATTTAGAATTAATGTCTAAATATATAAGTGTCTCTTTTGCTTTCCCTTTTGCTTCTTGGTAGGAATTCTTACCCCGTTCTCTTCCAGGGCAGCCAACGGCTTGTTGATACTGTTGACAAATTTGTTGACGTGCTCAAAATGTTTGGTCATTTCCGTGGCCAAGACCATGTCAATAATGGCTTGTCGCAGAGTTCGGTATTCATTCCTAGATAAAAGAAGACAAAAGGCAGGAAAAATAGGTGCAAAATTGTGTTACTTTAGTAGGGCTATCTATTAAATCATGCGAATATATAATTTAAGGCATAATTAAATTATACTGTATATTTATTGTATAAAATGATCCACACTCATTATATCTTTCCCCTCAAAATACTCATCTCCCTCCATTGCTACTCCTCCATATAATCATCATGCAATCAAAACGAACTTTTTTCAATTGCCCCAAGGACAGCCAATAAATGTTCCGATTGAAGAACTTGGATTTTTTTCTACTGAAAAAGGGAGATGATCTCCCTTTTGCAAAAGGAACAAAACTTTACACAGTTTATCCCAAAACATTTCCCTACGCTCTTCACCTGTCTTTGAAATAAGTAGAAGAATTCATTCTTCTAAATAGTTAGAATTAATGTCGGCAGTGCAAACCCTTTTAAAGAATCCTTGTATTTTAGAAACCTACCTCTCCATGTTTTTAAAAATGTTGCATTTATCATCCCGGGTGGTGATCTGGAAGGCTAGCGCTGCATGATGGCTCTCCAACACTGCTGTGTCATTATATAAAATGGCCAGTTCGCTTCCGGCGTTGCACAGGAAAGAATTGGTTCGTCCCGGATGGTCCACATCGTGGACGGTGGCAGCTATCAACGCAGCAACTTCGTCAATGGGATCCAAGGTTTGCTGAGAAGAAGAATACTGTTGTGGTTAGCTGGCAGCAGGTGCGGACGGCTGAGGAGAGTAAGGACCCAGATGAGGGGCCAGGACCATTAGGGAGTGGACTGCTGCCTTCAGAGATTGTGGGGGCTGGCAGCAGTGATGAGGAGGTTCCTGAGGAGCCTGTGCCAAGCACACACGCACGCACGATTGATCGTAGGAGAGAGCAGTTACAACAGCATGGGTGACTCGGGAGTAAGGCTGCAAGGTAATGGCCCCTCCCTCAAGAAGATAAAAGCCAACTTTGAAACAAACATTCTTTGCAGAAAGCAAAGACGTTCTGAAACTCCACCTCATGGACATTCCAGTATCCTGAGTTTGTATTTGAACATTTTTGTACTGCAAATTGTTTCTTGCCTGTTATCTTTTGGCAAGTCTCGCACAGTTTGGCAAGACTTGTGCTTTTCACAGCTAACTATTTTGTAAAAGCATTACAAGGTTTCTGTTTCTTTTGGACTGCATTTGATCTGTTGGAAAAGGGCATGGGTCAGAACAAAGACAGAGAGAGGCTGGGAGATGCCCAGGAAGAGAGATGCTGTAACAGTTATACTGCAGTTCAAGAACATCTCATCAGGAAATTTCTAGGCACCTGGAGTGATCTCATTGCAGTCACGCCGGAAGCCATTAGATGGTTAGCTTCCTTAGATGATGAGCTGCAGGTAGTCCTTGCGTTATGACCACAATGGAGCCCAAAATGTCTGTTGCTAAGTGAGATAATTGTTGAGTGAGTTTTGCTCCCTTTTATGATCTTCCTTCCCACAGTTGTTATTAACATGGTTATTAAGTGAATCTGGCTTTCCCACTTGTCAGAAGGTAACCAAAGATGATCTCATGACCCCAGGACACTGCAACCATCATAAATATGAGTCAGTTGCCAAGCAGCTGAATTCTGATCACATGATGCTTCAACAGTTCAGCATCTTCTTTTAATGACCCCATAATCCCTTGTGGGGTGGAGTCTGGGCAACTGAACGGAGATGAGGGTTTAGTGGCCGGATGCCCTTCCTGTTGCCAATGTGGAGTTATATTCGGCAGATATATTGTGCCCAGAGAGAGAAATATCTGCCTCTACATAGGGTCAAACTCACAGCCTCCTGATTGTGAGACGAGAGCTCCACCTCTAGACCACTGCATGGGGATGTTTTAACAGTTGTGAGTGTGAGTAAGTGTGACAAACGGTCATGGTATTTTTCCAGTGCCGTTGTAACTTTGAATGGTCATCAGTCAGCTTTTTCAGTGATATTGTAACTTCGAACAGTCACTCAATGAAAGCTTGCAACTCAAGGACTACTTGTATAATATTCATCCTATTGCAACTCTATGGCATCCTAAATGAGGCAATTTTATCTTGGCTTTACCCTAATTTTATCTCATCTACTGTATGGTCCGAACACTTTACATATATAGAACACCATACATATATAGATGTTTTATAATTTTTTGTACATATGTTTTATTAGTGCTATATAGCAATAGCACTTAGACTTATGCACCACTTCACAGTGCTTTATAGCCCTCTTTAAGCAGTTTACAGAGTCAGCATATTGCCCCCAACAATCTGGGCAATCATTTTAACCACCTTGGAAGGATGGAAGGCTGAGTTAACCTTGAACCTGGTGGGATTTGAACTGTGAAATTGTAGGCAGCTGGCTGCAGAAGGAGCTTGCAGTACTGCACTCTAACCACTGTGCTACAGAGGCTCAGATATATATATTTGTTTTCTGAGGTTTTCATGGGTATTTGTATGTGGATCTTTGGTTATTCGGGTTTTCTCCCGCGTAAAATTGGAAGTATCTAGGTGACGTTTCAATGAAGCCTCATTCATCATCTTCAGGCTTGTGTCTTCGGCTTTGTGCTTCTCGGAGTAATGTGAGCTTGCAGCTGCTTCTTCCTTTTAACTGCTAGTGGGGGTGTGACTTGATTGGGTGGGGGCTTGGCTCACATTACTCTGAGAAGCACAAAGCCGAAGACACAAGCCTGAAGATGATGAATGAGACTTCATCGAAATGTCACCTAGATACTTCCAATTGTACGCGGGAGAAAACCCAAATAACCAAAGATCCATATATATGTGTGTGTGTGTGTGTGTGTGTGTGTGTGTGTGTAGATGCTATACATTAAATAAAATAAAATAGTAAAAGAATAAAATAGAATAATAAATAAAATAAAATAAAAAAAGAATAAAATAAAGAATAAAATAAAATAAAATAATAATAAAATAATAAAATAAAATAAATCCTGATATGGACCAGTGGTGGGATTCAAAAAAATTTACTACCAATTCAGTGAATGTGGCTTGGTGGGCGTGGCATGGCTTGGTGGGCGTGGCATGGCATGGCAGGGGAAGGTTAATGCAAAATTTCCATTCCCTCCCCACCCCACTAACCTGCTTTCCAGCTCCCTTCTCCTGTGCAGGGCAACCAAAGAAGACCCAGCCAATCAGCTGGGACTCAATGGGAGGCAGAGAAGAGATGGGGGAGGGGCCGGTCAGAGGTGGCATTTGCAGGTTCTCCAAACTACTCAAAATTTCCGCTAACCTGCTGAATATACCATCTCTGATATGGACCATATATAAAGCCTTGAGGTTTGTGGACAAGATGCCTGAATGCCAAAGCATCCCAAAGTGTAAATAATCTTAGAGGCAGTGGTAGGGAGCAGCTTAGTAACAAGGAGGAAAAAAATTCTAAAATAGTTCAATGAGAAATCATCAGCAGCCACAAAATGCTATCTGGCAGTTATGGGCGGGATGGAAAATTGGAGGTTGGGAAAAGGAGCAGAGAATGAACTACCCTGGAAGGAATCACGGTACATTGAACTTTGCTTTTCCACCCATTGCTGTTTCCCATAAGTTATCCTTGTGGATGGTTCGTTCCTAATGCAAGGAAGAAACTCACAGGAAACTTCCATTAAAGTTTTTTTTTTGTTTTGCATTTCTTAGGCCACCCTAGCAGTTTCCTTGGAACATGAAGTTCACACAAACCTCAAATCTTGCTTGAATATGCTGATTAATGATCTCCTGGAACAGTGGTGTCCCAAGCTTTTCCACCCCAACTTTTTGGGGGTTCTCCAAGCTTAGGAAGAATTAATATTACAGATCCAAGACGATCTGAAGCTTGCTAACGTAGAATTCGCCCTCTGCCTACAGAACCCCAAATATCTGCAGGTAGAAGCAACTGGTTGCAAAGGATGGGAAAGAGCTTTGCAAGGGACTTTGGATTTCCTCATTCAGGTGGGCAACCCTAGGCCAGAGGAGCAGCGGTGGGCAGCTATCGGTTCGCACCGGTTTGGGCGAACCGGAAGCTAATTTTACATCTGGTTCGCCGAATGCCCAGGTAGGGGAGAAACGGGCTCCCCAAAGGCTCAAAAAAAAGCCTCCAGAGCCCGGGGAGGACCAAAAACAGGCCTCCCAGAAGTTCTGGAAGGTTCCAGAGGGCCTCTGGAGCCTGGGGAGGCCATTTTCGCCCTCCTGGAGGCTTGAGGAAAACCTCTGGAGCCTGGGCCCGTTTCTGGCCTCCAGAGGGCCTCCAGAGCCCAGTGAGGTCAAAAACTGCCCCCCCTCCCCGCCCATGGTGTAGGAGGCCGACTAGGCCACACTCACCCAGCAACCGAGCAGAGAACCGGTTGCTAAATTTTTTGAAGCCCACCCCTGCAGAGGAGGCAATAATCAGCAAAGGTTGTTTCCAAGTTTCGTTTTCCTATGCCACCAGAATTACAGAATAACGGGAAGGACCTTGGAAGTCTTCTAACCCAATCTCCTGCTCAAACAAGAATCCCTGGACCATTTCGGACTAAGGGCTATCCCATCTCTTCTTAAAAACCTCCGGTATTAGAGCACCCACAACTACTGGCAAGCCATTCCACTGGTTAATTGTTCTCACTGTTAGGACCTTGGAGGTCTTCTAGTCGAACCCAAGCAGATAACCCTATACCATTCCAGAAAAATAGCTCTCTAATATTTTCTTAGAAACCCCCAGTGTTGGAGCATGCACAATTTCTGGAGGCAAGTTGTTCCACTGATGAATTGTTCTCACTGTCAGGACATTTCTCCTTAGTTCTAGGTTGGTTCTCTCCTTGATGAGTTTCCATTCATTGCTTCGTGTCCTGCCTGTTTTGGAGAAAGGCTGACCCTCCTCTTCTTGGGGGCAGCCCCTTAGACTTACTTTTACTCTTTCTTTCGAAAGGAAATAGGCCGTGGCATGGAGCACATCTGCCGAGTGGGTTGAATTGTGGTAAGAGTTGGATAAGTGATAATTGGCTTCTATGACTTGCAACCAAGACCTCAGCGTCGACTCAGAGCAACCGAGAAACTCACAGATCCGAAAGCGAGCAAACAGTTTGAGGCCAAGATAAACCAAAGGCCTGGAGGGAAGAAGAAGGGGGAAAAAGGTAATTCGTTCTCCCTTGTTCTTACTGCACCAAAAGCCCAAATAAACATCAAGAGTCCGTAGCCAGGTGATCAATCTCTCCCAGAATGCTGCTCCCATGAGCTTCTTTGCTTCTCCTACAAACCTTTTATGAGTAGCAGCCTCCAACTCAAAAATATTAAAATCCCAGTCTTGTTCATTTTCCATTGCTTGAGCTATCCTGGGTGGGATGTCGTTGAGGGAGATGGGTGAGATCAAACTGCCCGGTACTTGATGGGTTTCTAAAAAAAATATGAAGACATAGGGACATAAGTATTACAAGTACACCTGGATCTCTCGTGAGAAAACAAAACCAAGGACAAACTGCAAAAGCTTGTAAAGGCAACCAGGTACAGGTAATTCTCAACTTATGACCCCAATCGAGCTCAAAATTTCCATTACTAAGCGAGACAATTGTTAATAGCAATAGCACTTAGATTTATATACCGTGTTACAGTGCTTTACAGCCCTCTCTAAGCAATTTACAGAGTCAGCCTCTGACCCCCAACAATCTGGGTTCTCACTTTGGAAGGATGGAAGGCTGAGTCAACCTTGAGCCAGTCGGTCAGGATCGAACTGCTGGCTATGGGCAGAGGTGCCTGCAATACTGCATTCTAACCACAAGGAAGGAAGGAAGGAAGGAAGGAAGGAAGGAAGGAAGGAAGGAAGGAAGGAAGGAAGGAAGGAAGGAAGGAAGATAGCAATAGCACTTAAACTTATATACCACTTCATAGTGCTTTGCAACCCTCTCTAAGCGGTTTACAGAGTCAGCCTATTTGCCCCCAATAATCTGGGTCCTTAGTTTACCCAGCTCAGAAGGATGGAAGGCTGAGTCCACCTTGAGACTAATGAGATTCGAACTGCCAAATTGCAGGCAGCCGGCAGTCAGCAGAAGTAGCCTGCAGTACTGCACTCCAACCACTGCGCCACCGAGGCTTGCTTAACTCACGGTTAAGTGAGTTTTGTCCAACTTTACGACTTTTCTTGCCACAGTTGTTAAGTGAATCACTACAGTTCTTAAATTAAAAAGCTGTTCATTGAATCTGGCTTCCCCATTGACGTTGCTGGTCAGAAAGTCAGAAAAAAAATGACAAGGGACACCGAAACCATCATAAATATGAACCGGTTGAATTTTGATCACGTGACCATGGGAACGCCACAACGGTCATATGTGTGAAAACCGATCATGTGATTTTTCCCCCCCAGTGCCATTGTAATTTTGAATGGTCATTAAATGAATAGTTGCAAGTCAAGGACTTATTTAGTTTAGTTTAGTTTACTTTATTATCATTGCACATATAACGAAATTAAATACCATCTTCAGTATGAAAATAAACACAAACACACATCTTTCACATTCTATACATTGAATTGGAATCCCCTGATATTGCATTAATATTGCACTACACAGTAGAATTCAATAGAAGCCCTGGGATAGAAGCTGTTTTTCAGCCTATTTGTCCTGATTTTTATTATCCTGTACTGTCTGCCAGATGGTAATAGTTAAAAAAAAGGGGGGGTGCCCAGGATGACATGGATCTTTGAGAACGTTTTGAGCTTTCTTAAGGCAGCGGGAAGTATAAAGCTCTTCCAAAAAGGGGAGAGGGCAACCCATGATCCTCTGGGCAATGACATTAACCCTCTGGAGCGCTTTCCTATCTGCTCCTGTGCAATTGGCAAAACATACAGAGGTGCAGTAAGTTAAGATACTCTCTATGGTGTAGCGGTAGAAGATCACCAGCAGTTTTTCATTCAGTTGTTGTTTTCTAAGAAATCTCGGGTTACCTGTATGATTCTCCTCTTCCAACCAGAAAGACCACTTCATTAAGGTGGAAAGTTTTTTCAGAGGACAAAAATAAGATCTGGCTTTCTTTATCACTTCGAGCAGCTAAGGTGACATGATGTGTCCTTATAAAATACCGGAGAACACTTTCTAGGCCAAATGGTTTTGGTTTAGCTTCAAGAACTAATCTCCATATTCAATTTTTCCTTCTTCTTATGTTTTGTCTATTAGGACTGCAAGCCGGCCTGTTATCTTCAAAATATTTACCAAACTTTAAGCCTCTTAGCAAACAAGAAAGCCTTTCAAAACTATATGCCTCTTTTAAAATGGCGTATTTAGCTTACTGCCTGACTAACAAGGGTCTGATGATACAGCAGTAATCACACAACCCTTGCTTATTGGTTTGTCCCTCTTCAAAATAATTTTTGGCTGTGCTATCCCCGAAATGAACTTGCTGAAGTTCCCACAATATCTAGTAGGGTAAAGAATGGCACTTACGCTTTGCTGATAACAGGTATTCATTCCCTGATAATCTTCGTAGTCCATCCTATTGAATAAAGTTGAAAAGAACGTGGAATGAAATAAAGACCCTTCTTAAACCTTTGGGATAGGTAATCGACTAAAGGGAATATAAATCAGGAAATGTTGTATGAACTGTCTATCCAACTTTATCTAGTCCAGAAACAAGAACCAGATTCTCAACTGGTTGGAGTTAAGCAAACTCTATTATCCTTGATCCTAAAAGAAATGTGCTATCTAATTATCACTTTTTTTTCTTCCTTTTAAGGACCCTGGAATCCCTTGCATCAGAGCGGAGTTGGGGCGACTGGATGGAGCTGAGAGTTTACTAGCCAGATGCCCTTCCTAATGCCTACACAGTGTTCACAGCAGACATTGTGCCCAGAGAGAGAAATATCTACCTAGAATTGAACTCATAGCCTTCTGATTGTGAGGGGATAGCTCCACCACTAGGCTAACACGTTGCTCCTATGCTAATTATCATTTAATTGGCTTTAAAAATGCCTTGTGGAAGGTCCAGTAAAGTAGGCGGCCTATAAGATCTAGGGCAACGTTCACAATTTGGTACCCACCAGATATATACAAATTCAACTTCCACTTTACTTATCCAGAAGGAACTTGGATGAGGAGTTCTGGAGCTTTCTTGGTAGCAGAACTCCATTTATTGAGTTCCTTGGCTAAACTAACCTGCACGACCAATTTTATCCCTTTCAAAGGAAGACAGGCAAAACCAGGAGTGGTTCTGAGCAGAGATTTCCCTTCTAACGCAATTGTTCCAGATTGAAACCCCATAGGTTTTCTTTTGTTTTGACAGTTTTCTGGACAGCTGCCTTCATGTTTATTTATTTACTAGCTCTATACCCGTGCTTCACTTCGAAACTATGTGATCAGGCTTAGTTTTTGAGGAGGAAAATAAGGAAAAAAATTCTGCCTCTGCCTACCAGCATCCATTGGTATTCATCTGGCTAGCGTCTTGTCAGTGTGTGAGAGTTGAGGGCTGTTTGGAAACTGAAACAGTATTTGCTGTGTGAGCAAGGAGACAGCAAAGAGCCTGGTTGTGGCTTAGCTCAACTGTTCTGTACTAAAGCTCCTTGGTGCTGTGAAACTAAAACTGAAACTGAAACTCCTCTCCTCTGTTTGTGTTTTGCATTTGGCACAGATTTCTTTTCAGATGGGGAGGGGGAGTAGATCTCCTTAGCATCAGAGCATGTTAATAATAATATATGGAATACTAATGCTCTGATGGTCATTTCAAAAAATCCTTTCTTAGCGAGCACCTAGAAGCCAAGAGGAACATATGTACCAAATTTCAAGTTTGTAGGCTTTACAGTTCTGGAGATTTTGTGATAATGCGTGAGTGGTATTTCGCTTTTATATATATAGATTAAATTTCTATGTCGGCTATCTCTCCTACAAGGTGATAAAAACCTCCTCTGTCTTGGTCAAGAAGCCATCCATGAATTTAAAAGCAAACCAGATTACATGCCTCTTCAGACAAAGAACATTGTCAAAGCCTTCTTTTAAAAAGCAACTTTTTCTACTGAAGAGGCTAGCAACTCATCATTTTAAAATAGACTGGGTGTTATGGCCTGTCGGCCACTGGCCCCTCCAATGGCCAAATCAGAGGAGGAGGAGGAGGAGGTGTGGGAGTCAGGGTCAGCATCCGAGGGGGAAGAGGGAATGGAGCTGGCACAGAGAGACAGATGCGGAGTCTGAGCCACCCGTCAGCCCTCAGATGGAGAGACAACAGCTCCCAGGTCTGGAGGTGGCTAATGAGGAGGAGGAGGAACTGTTGGGTCCAGTGCCTGACGTGCAGATGCACAAAAGGCAGAGGAGAGGAGAGCAGTGGAAATCCATGGGCTGGTCCTTGGGATGGAAGAGCCACCACTGCTAGCGAAGCCTCACCCTAGCTCTGGGGATAAAAGGCAGAGGGCGGAGATGAATAGGGGTGGCAGACAACTATTCATCTTCCGGATGGACAGACTTGTTAGCCTGTGGTGAGAGACCAACTTTTTGCCGGGTCTGCCGGCGCTCCTAATAAGGGAATCTTTGAGTTAAGTTCAGAGGGTTTGTTGTGTTTGGGGAGCTGGGTGAGCGAGATGTTTCTAAACAGGTTTTAGTGCAGCAAATTATCCAGCAGAAGGGTGAGCTGATTTCTTCATCTAAAACCAGTTGGGCTGATCAATGGAAGCTGCAAGAAACTCTTTGTCAATATATTTCCAGACCTGCAGCTTGCACAGAAGCAATGGCTCAGGATTTACTATCGTTGCAAGATGGCTCCGGTGAGCGGACTTGGAATGCCATCAGGCGGTCCAACAAACAAATTCAAATACTTTGAGATTTTAATTACCGTCATCAAGCCACCGACAAGGTCATTTGTGTGTGGATCTTCATCTTTGGTGCCAAGCTGTGGAGAATACAACTCAGTAGTCCTCAGAATCTCCAGGACTCTATCCAACGCTTCAGCCACTGGCATGGGACTGCTTTCTTGAGCAGCGTTGATAATATTTATTACCTACAAGAAAGAAATGAAGGAAGGAAGGAAGGAAGGAAGGAAGGAAGGAAGGAAGGAAGGAAGG